AATCTTTTCCTACAGCAATTTTTGTCAAGTTTTCATATGCAGAAAAAGAAAATCATTGTATTTCATTGTCTGTGTGTTTTCCCTTACAGAGGACATGTTGATCTGACCATTCTTGGTGCAATGCAGGTATCTAAATATGGAGATCTTGCCAACTGGATGATTCCGGTAAGTTGACAGAGGAGTCTCAAGGGACAATTTTTTGTGTGCCAGTTTGCAGAAGTTGTTAAATTGTCGCACAGTGACGCCTTCAAAGAAAACCATAAATATCTTTGTGGTTTGAGATTTTTTTTCAGGATTTTTTGCATGCTAGAGGGTTAGTACAGTAGAATAAATATGATAAGTAACATTTCATACAAATATTACATTGTTTTTCATCAACCTTCAACAATGTTTAATACCGAGTTACTTTAATATCATTATTATTATTCTTCCTTTGCACTTGCAGGGTAAGATGGTGAAGGGCATGGGAGGAGCTATGGACCTAGTCTCCTCTCCCAGGACCAAGGTGGTTGTAACCATGGAACATGCTGCTAAGGGAGGCAAGCCCAAGCTGCTCTCAGAATGCAACCTCCCCCTGACAGGAAGGAGATGCGTGGATAGAGTAATCACAGAAATGGTAAGCATATGGCCTTTAAAAAAAAGGTGTTGTATTGCCCTTTTTTTACCCCCTCTTTTGGCTGATATTTCTCAGTTTTTAATGCATTATTTTTTTATATTTTTCTTTCTCTCCCTCTTTGGGCTGATATTTATCAGTTTTAAATGTTTAATACATATTTTTGTATTCATTAAACATTTTTTTTCTCTAAAAACAGTATAAAAAAAAAAAACTTTAAAAAAAAGCCGACCATAGATTTTAAGATTTTTGGGTCGGTCGCAAAGGGCAATACAACATCCTTTTTTATACTCCTAATGATATGTAAATATGTAAATACTGAGTTTTATGTAACAAAAAATATGAACCAATGAAATCCAAAGTTCCCTAGGGTTGCTGTATTTCACAGAGGCTGCAGGCCGGGGATGAATTTGATTGCATTCAGGAAGTTAAAGATTGGAAGTGAATATATTTGTTGTAGAATGACTACATGCTGTATTTGTGTGTGATGAAATCCTGCCATACTGTTCCTATTTTTCCGTCTCTCACACTTCCCTTTTTCCATTGAAAGTAATATTGTAAATTGCCAGTACCAGTAAGACAGTTATGGTAATGTACACAGTAGAAATGGCGAGTATTAAATGAACAGAATAGCATATAGTCAGATGAGTTCTGTAAAAAGAATTATACCCTTTACCCCAATCCCAAGTATTATATTCATGTACATGTATTTACTCTTTTTGGTGTGATATGTTCATTTCGCAATTCTAAACCCCAACTCTAAAGACATTGTAAATAAATTGAAAATGATTGAATAAAAAAATTAAAAAACTCAATACCAGTGTACTAACCAGTTCATCAGTTCAAAATTTAAGATTTTATGTAAATTACCCAATGCATGCAATTTCGGTTTCAAAATAATTTGTATGACCAAACCATCTGTTTCTTCCTCTCCATTAGGGTGTGTTTGACCTCGACAGTGAGAAAGGCATGACCCTGATCGAGATCGCAGACGGTGTGACTATCGAGGACATCATCGAGAACACCGAAGCTGAGTTTGAAGTTGCTGAAGATCTTAAACCCATGGGACAAGTCTGAGGTGACCCCATTTGTTAATAATTGGAACTAAATGAAATGGAATTGCTGAAACTTATGGGGCTCGTTCAGATATGCTGAGGTAAACCTTTTTTTAATAAAGGACCTGTGTGTATTCACTGAGCTGTGGTGTAGGATACGGGAATGTGAAGCACATTACAATTACCTCATTATTCAAAAAGACCTGGGCCCTGTTTCATAAAACTTGTAATCAATAACAAATGGTAAATTTATATGACAAATTAGCTCTCAGCCAATCAAATGCCATGATTTCAGTAGCTTATAACAGTTATTGTAACTTGTTATTGATATCAAGTTTTATGAAACAGGGCCCAGAGCAGTTTATTGGGGCATATCTGAACGAGGCTCGAGAGAGTCATGTCTATGTTTGATCGCTGCATGAAATAATTGGAACTGAATGAAATGGAATTGCTGAAACTTATCAAGGCTCGTTCAGATATGCAGAGGTAAATGCTTTTTAATGAATGGCAACTGTGTGCAAGAATGGTCCTGTGTGTATTCTCTAAGCTGTAATGTAGGATGTGGGTATGTGGAGCATATTACTATTACCTCATTATTTAAAAAAAGACGGAACAGTTTACCTCGGCATATCTGAACGAGGCTTAAGAGAATCATGTCTATGTTTTATCGCTGCATGAAGTTTGAGACTACTGACAGTTATGACTGGTACTGCTAGTATTGAATTGAATGTCAATACAAAGCCAAAAGCCATTCTGAGCGAACCGTATGCGATTGGTATTCTTGTAAAGATTACAGTCAGATTTGTGTGAAAAGTCAACAATGCTACATCATGATATTTATATGAGGAACAATATGTGCTGCACTTTGTAAGTGCAAGGTAAAATATGTTTCGGATTGGATTGGATTGGTCATTTTGACATAAATTTGTTTTTGGGATTTAGTAACACAATTACCCAGTTTTTTCTATTCAGGTAGGTCCTTCTTTGACTTTTTTGTGAATGAACAAAATATAGTTTATTTAAAAACAAAAAATATATAGTTTTTAGTGTGATTTCTTTTTCTAGATCTTGATGTTTTTGTTAAATCACCCTTGTGCTTGATTAAGACTAGTTCAAAGCCAGCACTTTTGTATGAATTATGGAGTTTTCTCTTGAACTTTGTGTGGAGGATTTTTTTTTTTCCAATATGGCTTGATAGTTGTAAAAACTAATCATTGTAGAATTATGTGATTGATTTCGAAAAATTTTGTTTTGTCAGAAATTTACCAAAGTTTGAAGTGTGCTTTGCTGCAAAATCAATGAATTGTGTCGGTTCAGGTGTATGTATAAGATGAAATTCACCTTTCTCTGTGTACCAAGTCCATACATTAGTTCACATAATTATTAGGCATAATATAATACAATGCAAATATATAATTTTTCATTGTAACTTTTTATTTGAAGTAATTAACTATCCAATCAGTTCAGTAGAATCAAAAGGTGAAAGTATGCAATAATGTAAATACATATAGTTTAAGATATGTACCTGTACTTGTAAACAGGAACAATTGTAGTAGTCCCTACAACATATATACAAAAAGATGTGAACAGTATTGAAACATTTAATCTTGTGTCAAAGTTTAACATTCTAGTCACCTTCTGCAAATATTTGGATGTTTTTTTTTAAATTCTTTACTCAGGTCTCAGGGGAGCTTTTTTAGATATTTATATGGACATAAATTAACTGGAATTCTTTGCACAAGGGTTATTTTAGGTTTAACTTTAAGGAATTCTTTGATGATAGTTTGTTAAATATTATGTATAAAGTGCTATAGATCCTACACTTTTAAGATTATTGAATGGTTTTTGTGGAGATTGCATCACATTTCATGTTTTTTATCCATTTCTTTGGGGTCTTTTCTGGAAAACCCATTTTGTATTGTTGGTGTTATACTTGTAGTTAGATTTCCTTTGGGGCAATCTTAGAGAGGCTCCTCGTGTTCATTTTTTAAAAAAAAACCGGTTTAGAAAATGTCCAGAAATAAGTTTTGCCTTCCTGCGGGGTAATTTGGCTGCGCGGCTTTTATTGTAGAAGATGATAGGAATGGTAAATACAGTAATAAAAGGTCACACAGTCTTCATAAAGTAGAGTATATTACTGAACTTTGTATAAAGATAACAAAATACAGATGGCAGATATTTAACTTTAGCATTAAATGCATCATTTAATCAGAATATTGCTAACATATAATTAACATTGATTATTTTATACTGGACTCATGAGTTTACTATATCCAGTATAATTAATGTAGTCAAACAACACATCAAGGTAACAGAAAAAGAAAAAAAGAATTAAAAATTAATCTTCAAATGCATTTAAAACTAAATGCTGATATTGCAATGTTTATTGACAAAATACATAGAAAGACAAATCCCTTATTCATCATACTAATTGATAAAATCACAATGACAAAGTTTAAAATTATTTTCTTTCCAACATTCTGTAATAGACTCATACACTACCGAAAACAAAAGTTTTAACAATTCAATATGGTTATGGTACTTGTAATCTAAAAGTACTCTTGCATAAAAAGTGAGTGAAGGCTGCAAACATCTAATATATTTAATAGCAATCTTTTTTTTCTTAAAGTGCTTGAGTGGAATTGTGCCCATTTTCTTTGGTCTTTGTGAACAGTTGGAATGCAATAATCAATCAAAGGGATTCCCATTGTAAATGGAGTTAGGTAAGGTTTAATGGCAAAAACAATTTAATAATCTTTTTAGAAAAATGTCACAAATATATTTCATATCGATTTATTATGTCACAATATCATTTGATGATTTTTGAAAGAGCTCAATCTTGCTTGATATTCCTTACGTATATCTGTATTTCACCTGACTTTTGAAGATTTATTTCTGAAATAGGATTCTCTCACAGGCATGTATTCTTGAGAAACTTCTCAATTACACAATATATTGTGGTGATTGGAATTTTATTTTTAATACATATTATACAAGATATGTATCATGTGTGTAATAAATGAAAGATATATTGAAAAATGAAATAATGTTTACACTTCTATCTGTCATTTGTATTGATAATACCTATGGATTTTTATTATGGATGTGGATTCTACTTCTTGCTCTAAAACTGTTTCAACAAACTCAACATATCAGTTCACCGTTGCTAGGGACTCATCTTCCTTTTTTCAAATAATAAAATACTGGTAGGTAATTAAGAAATCTATTCCATTAATCATTGCAAATTATTTCTCTCAGACTATTAAAGTGGAGAAGAATTCTCATCCTTGTTCCAAAACTGTCGGACAAACTCCCAACAAAACAATTCACCATCACAAGGCACCCATCCTCCTTTCTTTTGAAGAACCCCAGTCCAGTACCGATACCAGGGGCAACCAAACTTCCTCACCACGTTGAAATGACCGCATCCCTCCATCCATCTCCTCTGGGTAATGTACCCATTCTTGGATAGAACCGAGCACATCTTGTCGCCATCCTTGATCATGAAAGCAAAGTCTTGGGCAGGACTGATGATGAGGAAGTGGGGTCGATGAGGGGCTGATGGAGTTTGTGTCGTAGCGGATGATGGTGATGATGTTACTTCGAGTTGTGATGGAGGTGGTGATGGTGGTGATGGTTTTACTGGTATCAGTGGTGTTGAAGATGTAGGCAGAAGTGGTGGTGACAATGTTTTTGATGATGAGAGTGATGGTGGTGGTGATGATGGCATTGACGAAGATGATGATGTTGGTAATATTAATGGTGAGGTAGATGATGATGATGCTGCTGCTGATGATGTTGGTAATGATGATGATGATTCTTCTTCTTCAGATGATGTTGATGTAGGAGTTGGATTTTTATTTTCATCAAGCAGCTTGACATATTCGATAGGAGACATGCTCGTCCAGTACGTAGGATCTGTTCCAAATGCTGGTTTCAGATAGATATGGTAGTTGAATCCTTTACTGATACTTTGAAGATCATGGACAGCTGACAAACTGATGACACCCTGTTTAAAAATTTGAAGAAAAATTAAATCTAGTGAGACAAGAACAGGGAACAGGATTTGTCAACATAAAAGCAGATCCATCGGATCATACTGTACTATGGGCATGCAATTCATTTCATTTATTTATTTCCATGTCAAGATAAAAACAAAATTATAGAATCGTCAATACAACATTATTTAATGAGGTGTCTGAAGTAAGAGGACCATGAAAAGCACATAAATGGCTTGGTTAAAGTGATCACCAGTCATAATATAATAAGCTACAGGATAAATTAAAATTATAGTCAGGACCAAAGCTGAACACTACAGTTAATGTGATTTAACTTTTTCTATGGTTTAATGGTTGTTCTGATTCATTCGGCAAATGATTTTACATAAAAAGAGAATTGAAAGATGAAAAGGAAAGATTACAGGATAGACTTTAATAACAACACTTTGACAATATGTTGAGAGTTAGAAAGAGCCTATCTCTTCTCACTAATACAGAGAGAATTGTCAGCCATTTTGAAGGAGTTTCCTTACCTTAATAACTTGTGGAGATATCCCGACGTCTGTCAGATAATGATGATCTAGGGCTACAAGGGATACCAAATGACCACCGGCCGAATGTCCAGCAAGGATAATAGATTCTGGATCAAAGTGACCAGTTGACTGTCCATAGTCCACTAACCATTTCAAGGCAAGTGTTACACACTCTGCTTGATCCTTGGGGCCAGCAACAAGACTGGATCCAAGGTCGAAGGTCGTTGTCTGTCGAAAGTAAAAGATAAGACACTGAACGGTAAAGACTAGTATTCCTGAGATTGAAAGCGCTAGAGTGTTGTTTTCTGCCAAGGTGGAAATGTCTAATGTTGATACTGTCGTGATTGTCGCTACAAGTGCTACAACAATCGGCATTTTACTTGAAATGTTCTTCTGTGTACCCGATTGATGTCGTCTCTCTAAGTATAGCTCGCGAGAGATCATGATGGCGAGAGTAATCCATTGCGCTACAATAATCACTCCTGCTATTAGGGGCATGACAGGAACTCTTAGACGACTGTCCAAAGAAATACAACTTATCGGCAAGACTTCCAGGACGATAAACAGTAAGAGGGCTGCAAGTATCCAATAGGCAAGAGCATACGACAATGAGATCGCCATCTCGATTAGATTGATCAACCACGGGGTCGGTGCGATCGGGTAGGACAAGATGGCGCAGGGGAATCCCCGACTGGCAAAACTCTCTCCAATGTTGCTGTACAGACGGTCACGGCCGACCATAGCTGCTAGACTGAAGTTGCATTCCCAGCGAGACATGTAGTGACGCCAAGTCTGCTTGTCTCCGCGTCGCCATCCCCCGCCATATGCAAACACCACAAGTGGTGGTGGGCGTGGTCTTTTGCCTCCAATTTCACCGTTTGCATCACGCTTTCTCACATTTTTGTCTGAATTTTTTTCCTCTTTTTGAGTGGTAATTGGTTCATTAGTACATGAAGAGATGGGCGATTCCACCTCAGCGTCTTCCGTGCTCTTGCAGCTGTTTTGTGATTTCTGCATTTTAGATTTAACAACGACGTTTCCACCTAAAGTTCCTCCACTGTCCAGAGAAGGTCCTTCTAATTTACGGCCATCGTTTATAAAATCATCAGACACTTTCTTGCTCTCGACAGTAGAAATTGGATTACCTGAAGATGGCAGGAATAAATCGAGGCAAGTTTTGCTAAGGATGTGCGCACTTTGATGTTCTTGTCTTCCTCTGTTGGCAACACCTTCTTCAAATGGTTGAGAGTAGTCGAAGTTTCTGAGCACTGAATAACCCAAACGGTTTTCCATGTTTGACGTCGGAAGGCTATACCTGATCTTCTATAGCCTATATAGACATAAATATTTCAGGAGTTCGATCGCCCGGCACTTTTATATATATTCGTCGATGATCAGATCAGGTCTATAATCAGATTTGGCCTCAGAATTGGGTATGCAAAAGTGGTACTTCAACGCTGTACTTGACGATTCATCCAGGCACTTTAATAGTATTCTGCCTCGGGCAACGCATCCAAATATACTTCTCAATGTACGTACTCTTTCATACAACCATAATTAACATGGCTCCCCGCGTATAATCATGCACAATATACTACCGAGTATAGGTCCATCGTATAATGCACATTTTCCGGTACATTACTGAGACACGTGTACTCTCCACGGGCTCTCCACACATTGACCAAGCAGAAAGACAACTCAATGATAACGAGCAGATACTACAGACGACACTTAAAAGTATATGTTGGCTAACTATGTAGCCACTCTATAGATTAATAGCTCAGGCAAACAACGTTCGCAAATAGTACTTGATACTAATTAAATTCCGTGAATGGCAGTCAGACATGATGATATGCAAGAATGCCTATTCATGCTGTCGTTCAATCTTGCTGGCAGCGGTGCGATGGACATATGGTAAAAAAAAAATGTGGAAACCATTGTACAGTTGTGTGGTTATTGATGGTTTCTTTGCATAGTCTATTGTTGAATGGTTTCGATTCTTCTGTGTGCCACGTTCATGCCGTAGTAGGCTATGCGTTATATTGCTATTTTTGTAATATATGCTTTTCATACAGCACTTCCTCTTCGCAACCTCAAGAGTCTACCTAAGAATTTTTGCTATTTTAAGCCAGTTTAGACCTTCATAATAATTCATACTTCCTTCTTTAATGTGTCTCTTCCTTTTTAAGCCAGTCATCTCTATCTCTCACCTTTTCTCTCACCTTCTCCTCGTTTTCTTACCGATTATAAAGCGACGTGATTTTGATCTCAAACTCTCTTTACCTTTCTCCCAACAACTCATTTTACTTTAAGGATTTTATTAGAATCATTTTCTAAACAGTTTTATGTAACAACAATATTTATTCGTCAATACTCACCGAAAAAGCACATAATTTTGTATGAAATATCGCGTAATCATTGTATTATACATGTACAACAATTACAATTGCTTATTTTTGGATCTTATGAATTACTATTATGAAGTATTTCCTGCTTGTAAATCAGCTTCAGAATTTGATAGGTATACGCTTCATTGTAAAGGAGACTTTGCAATATATAATATTTGTATTTGTATATATAAAACAGATTGTAAAATGATAAAACAGACTGATAATAACACCACTACTAGTATTATTAGTATTATTATCATTATTATTGTTATTTTTCTATTCGGCATTTCAACATATAGAAGAAAATCAGGAAGATAGTACACAGTAGAGAAAATGAATAATAGATGTTGACCATGCATGCCCAGGTTTCCTGGGATAAAAAATAAAACTAATCACTATAGTCCTCGGGCCTTCTACCCTGACATGGGGGTGTTTCACAAAGATTCTAAGTTGAACTGGAAAGCCGTTAGCATCTATGAAAATGTTTTGTACAATTTATTTTAATAGGCATAAAATGTTGATTCAAATCATTCATAATTTCCATTATCAAGGAGATTTCATGTTCTTGATGTGGAATTTATAAAAAGTGTGAAATACTTGAATGTTCGCTTTTGAATAGATTTTTATTTTAAGGGTACAAATGGCTCTCCATAATTTTAAGTCCAACTTAGAGTTAAGTTCGATTTAGGATCTTTGTGAAACACATCCACAAAAATGAAATAACATAGCTTAAACTTATATATTCGTTTATATGAAATAGTAATAAATAAAAGGGATAGATATAATGATGATAATTGAAACAAAACAGAATGATCAAATTATATGTTAATAGTTGCAAAATTGGATTTGATATCAAAATAATAGTAATAAAATAGAGCATACAGTAGGACCTATATTATAAATAGAATGTACATATCCTATATGATGCGAATGGACCCCATCTATCCCACAACATTCACTAAATAATTATTATGACACGCAGGTTATACACATGACAGTAAACTAACACAATTTGTCATTTCAAACAGTCAAGATGTACCAAACTGTTATAGAAAGCTTTGTATTTGATGATACTACACAGGGTCCTTCGGCAATATTTTGTTCCCCCTTTTATTTCCTTTTTTTTTAAAACTGGATCTTAGTTTATGAAATTACATGTTTATCATTTTTATCTAGACCTAATTTTCCAATATGACATATTTTAATTCCGAATTGCATTCACTCTGTGGAATGAAATGAAAGAGAATATACTAATGGTATACCCACTAAGCCTACAGATGTTCGAACAATTCACAGGGCGCCTCTTACTTTATATGTTGGCAATACATCATTTTATACATCATGATTATACTATCTCAAAATGTTTCCGATTTAAGAACTACATGAATTGACACTATTATATTATTGTTCTAAAATGGTTGACCATTACCCGCCTCCCAGTCTCCTTCTTTCTTCCCCCAAACCTGATCAGTCCGGTACTGATACCATAGGCCAAAAACGCCCTCATAATTATAAGAGAACTATACACCCTGTTTATAAATTTACGGAGACGTCACAGGGAAAATATTGATCTCTGTCACATTTGATGTACAGTGCGTCCCAGAAAAAACGAAACCGAGAATTAGCGATGTTTTATCAAAACTTATCACAATTATAATTAATAAATGACACATATTTGTAAAGCTTAAATCCTATTTCATTTAATGGAACTCATATAATGCATATTTCATGCATGACTGATTAAAATCAATTTGAAGAGAGGGAACCAGAAAGTCATTTGGCGGGCGGTATCTGAATTTCAAAAAGAAATTCACATTTCTAGAAAGTTCAGTTTCTGCATGCCCTTTCATATGACACCTCAATCAGGAGCAAGGAATAACAAAGTCCTGTTTGTTTAAAGTGATGCTTGCATTTCCATGATTTGATTTAAATAGTTCGTTTTCACTGACTGGTGCCGTAGCAACAAGCCGAATTGACAAAAGACTTAACTCCGTTTCGTTGACAATCAGCCATACATGAAGTCTTTCATCTTTGGCTGTTCTTTAACAAAACGGAGTTAAGGCTTTTGTCAATTCCGTTTGTTGCTACGGCAGGCAGCCAGTGAAAACGAATTCGTTTAATCAAATTATGGAAATGCAAGCATCACTTTTATCAAACAGAACTTTTGTATTCCTTGCTCATTTTTCCTGATTGAGGTGTCATATGAAAGGTCAGAAACTAAACTGTTTAGAAATGTTTTTTTTTTTTTCTTTGAAATTCAGATACCGTCCGCCAAACGACAGTCTGGTTTCCTCTCTTCAAATTGATTTTAATCACTCATGCGTGAAATGTGCCTCATAATTTATGAGTTGTATCAAATGAAAGAAGAGGATTTTAGCTTTACAAATATGTGTCATTCATTAATCATATTGTGATTAAGATATGATAAGACATCGATAATTCTCGGTTTCGTTTTTTTCTGGGACGCACTGTATAGTTATGATTTCAATTCTACAAAAAAAAATCAAGTATAAAATATTTGTTTTCGATGTCAAACGACTTTGACTATTCACTGTCCCATAATTGTTGAACAAAGTCCCAACACATCAGTTCTCCATCACTTGGTTCCCAGCTCAAACTTTTCCCTAGAATCCGGCCAGTCCAGTACTGATACCATGGGTAACCAAACCTCCTCACTATTGTGAAATGGTTGCTTCCTTGCATGAAGTTCCTTTGTGTTTGGTATCCATTGCTCGTAAGAGCGGAGCACATCCTTTCGGAGTCCTCGATCATGTAACCAAAGTCATTAGCAGCACTGATGAGGAGGAAATGGGGACGATGAGGGGCAGAAGAAATATGTGATGACGACGATGTTGAAGAGGATAATGATGATTGTGGTGGTGATAATAACAATGAAGGTGATGGTGACTCATCTGTTGGTAGTGGACATGGTGTTGATGATGACGACGACGACGACGAAGATGGTGATGATGATGATGACGTAGAAGAAGAAGGAGAAGAAGGAGGAGTAAGAGTAGTAGAAGAAGCAGAAAGATGAGATGAAAATGTGGTCGAAGTGGTTGTTAAGGACGATGAAGCGGAGAAGACGGAAGGACTCGACAGCTGAGACAAAGGTGACTGGCCAAAATCGGAAGCCAGTCTGTTATGTTCACCCAGTTTGACATATTCGATAGGAGACATGCTCTTCCAGTACGCAGGATCTGTTCCAAAGGCCGGCTTCAAGTATACATGATAGGTGAATCCTTTGCTCACCGTTCGAAGTTCATGGATAGCTGACAAACTGATGACACCCTGTTTGAAAATAATTGAAAAGTCACAAGATGGAATTCTAAGCTTATAGCACGTCTGAATTAAAACATGCGCAAAAAAGAAGGTAGCAAGAACAAATAGAAAGAGATAAGTTTCAGTTTAAAAAGGACACAATAATAACGAAACAGATGGGTCTTCGTGCAAAACTAGAACATAAACAGTTTATTAACAGTTTTCTTAAAATGTATATAACGATGACAATTAATTCAGATTTAAACTGGAAGATGTTTGAATTTATGATACATGTCTGATAGAATGTCCTATATTGAATATATTCTCATCGATAGGGGTGAACATGTGACTTTTTATTACCTTAACAACTCGAGGGGAAATTCCGGCGTCTGTCAAATAGCGATGGTCAAGGGCTACAAGGGATACCAGATGACCACCAGCCGAGTGACCCATCAAGACGATAGAGTCTGGATCAAAGTGACCAGTTGACCGTCCATAGTCCACAAGCCATCTCAATGCAAGTGCTACACATTTTGCTTGACCCTGTGGGGTGGCAGCAAGACAGGGTATCTTGGACTCCGGGTGGAATGTCGTCTTCTGCTGAAAGTGGTAGATGAGATACTGCACAAACATGACAGCTGCTCCAGGGATACGAAGCCCCGAGATGGTGTTATTTGCTAAGTAGGAACCCAAGGAGTAAACATCCAACGTTAATACTGACGTGATGATTGTCATAAAAGCAGTGAGAGCAACTACAGATCTTGAAACGGTCCACTTGGTAACAGATTGATGTCGACTCGTGAGGTAAAGCTCTCGAGAGACTATGATCCCAAGTGTTAGCAACTGTGATAGGATGATGACTACTGCCGCTACAGATAGAGCCGGAAAATCTGAGTGATTTTGTAAAAAGCCCCGAATTGTGTACATAGGTGATGGGTATGACATCGAGAAGAGCAATACTTCCAGCAACAAACTCAATAATGAGGTAATAAAAAGGGTGAATACTAGGGAAAATAAAAACGAGCTGCCGATTTCCAGTAGATTGATCGGGAAAGGGGTCGGTACGAGTGGGTATGACAGAACAGCGCATGGAAACCCTCGACTCGCGAAGCTCTCCCCGACGTTGCTATTGATACGGTCACGCCCAACTAGGGCGGCCACACCCAAGTTGATGTCCCAGCGAGAGATGTAATGACGCCATATCTGCTTATCACCGCGTCTCCATCCACCGCCATGTGCGAAGACAACAAGAGGCAGTGGTCTTCCACCCTTCTTGGTAGATCTTTCATCTCTGACCCGCTTTCCAAGGTTTGCATCCTCTCCTCCTGTAGTAACTGATTTTGTGAGGGGAGTGGACGTCGATGATATCATCTCAGAGTCTGTTTCTCCGCAAGAAACGACTTGCGGCGTAGAGGCGTTTCCCAATCCTTCATGGTTCGTCTGCAGCTGTGGAGATTCATAAACTTCT